GCACACGTATACAAACATCATGGCATCTCAATATATATATTCCATATTCCAACACGTAATTAAATAAAAATAATATTATACTTTCATCATTTAACTTTAACTTATTAATCATATATAACTTATCTTCTTACCTACTTAAATTATATATGAATATTATTTATTCCATAGAAAGATTTTTTTTGCTTAAACCATCCCTTAGCATCAGTAACTAAATCACATTTCTAAAGAACAAGGATACAGATTTTAATCATTAAACAACTTGACTTTATCCTAGCTGCGAATCACGCTGAATGGGAAAGCAAGGAAAACTATGTCAAGACATGACAGGAATTACTCCGCAGTTACATCTAGACTTATGAACTTTTGCTCTGATACCACCTTTTACCACTTTGTCACGAACCCGTTTTCCGTGGGCCGGACCGGCACTAGGGCCCAGGTAAACATAAGGGCTCCCGAGGCCCGTAGTTCAAGCCTAATTACTCTAACTATAACATTCCGTACATTTAATAGAAACAGTAAGCCCCATACAAGTTAAGATATACAATGTAAATCTATACAATCCGGCCCAATTTTAATTATCTCCAATAAAATTTAGTTTGGGCCTAGTCATTATCAATCACGTTCATAATATGGGCATACTGATTTTCCTGTGTCTAATAATACAATCAACCGTTTATAAAACAACGCATACGGCAAGGCCCAATTGGAAATACACAACCCTATAACTCAATTGGAAATACACGACCCTATAACTGCGGAGTTCAATAATATTCTGATAATAGAATAATTTATACATCCAAAATTAAATAACAGAAATATAAAGCTTACATTTATAACTCTGCTGAGAAGAGTGCAGAGCTTCAGTTGAATCCGCTGCTTCCTAGTACCTGAGAGGTTTGTTGGGGGGGTGAGTTTTGCAACTCAGTGAATAATAATAAATAATACACCACATACACTCAAGCAAAATGCACCCTAGTATACTGAATGAACACACAACAGTCAATCATATGGCATCACATCAGCACCCACAAACAATATATCACCTTCAAATACATCAACATCACGTGAAATCACGTGGAAATTAGTCAGTGGAGTCACCGAACCCCTGATGAGCCGTCCTCCCACATGGCTCATCCTCTCACGTGTGCACCAGGGAGCCGATCCCCAGTACTGGCCGACCGGTCTAATCTTCACTTGACCAGCCCTCTCATTGTTTTTCCATTCTCTCTTTTCTTTTCCCTACCAACAGGAGGTAACCCGGTCGTCTCCATCAAATCTAGATCATCAGGCGCTCACAACAGGAAGCCACCCTGCGGGCTGCGATCAATCTAGATTATCAGGTGCGCCCAATAAAGAAACCAACCTGTGGTTTTCCATATCACACAAATCATAGCAGTAGGTGCACACGGGGGCGCCGATCTCCCATTTACCCGGCCAAATTTCATATCATATTCAGGATCCATATCACATATACCGAATCAGAATATAACAGAAATCAGAATCAGGATCCGTATAACAGAAACAGTCTCACAAACCCCATGGTGACCCACTTCATATCCGCAATTCCAACAGCAAAAGGCCACAGTATATGCACAGCACACGTAATCAACAATTCTTTTCAACGTATACACCAATTTCATCCGCAAATGCACAATTATTATATAAGTATAATTATAATGATCGTAACATAATATATATATGATAAAATACTTATAATATGTTGTAAATATGTAAATGAAAATATAATGTTTATAAGTAATTGTTATGCAAATGCAGTGTTGATGTGCATTATTCATTATTACTCACAGTGATGGAGAGCGAGGTTCTAGCTTTGATTCTGTCTTGGAGGAGCACTAGATGGACCCGGGCGATCTAAGAAATTACAAGAACGACACAAAAAGAATAATTTTATCAGACAAAATATTTATTTACACTCTAAAAATCTCATTTTATATTCTAACTTCTCTACGTAATTTAATCCTGAGATTTAATTTCTTTTCTATAATAATTTATTTTTCTATTGAACTGCCACGACCCATTTCCGTGGGCCGGACCGGCACTAGGACCTGGGTGGGCTTAAGGCCCCCGAAGCCCGTAGTAAACCTAACTTATTTAAATCTCACATTCTGTTCATAATTATGGATTCAGGCCCATTAACTTATTATATATCAATAATTCCAAACCACACGGCCCATCCATCGGGCAATCAATCAATTCAATTTCATATGCGTCGCATTCAATCAATGCAATTTTTTCCCCGTCCTCCATCCACATCAGTAATATCAAAATAACATTCAACCTCAAATTACCTCATATAATTTATAAATTAAAATTACATACAATACTAACTATCCTCAATCCAAAACTAAATTCCATAAATTTTTATTATAAAAATTTCTAATATTATTTAATACTGAATTTAATTTTAACTAACTATTAATTTTATTAATACTGAATTTAATTTTAACTAACTATTATTTTTATTAATCAAGTAATTAAACTAATCAGTAGATCTAGCCAAATTAAATTAATTTAACTAATCAAAATTGATAAATTAAATTAATTACTCAAGATTACTAAAACCAATTACTAAAATCAAGTTAATCAACTAAAATTATTAGAATTAAACTAACTAAAATGACTAGATTTAATTAACTATCATTAATAAAATTAAATTAACGAAAATGTAGTTAAATTAATTTATACCCCAAATATAATTTTTTTTTTTTTGTCGAATTTTTTGCTAGATCGGAAATTTGCTCGTGTCGGATCGGAGCTACGCACGCCGGAAGTGGTCGGATCCGACTGACAGTGGCAAGGGAAGGCGACGTTGGTGGTGTTTTGCGATCGGGAGAGCTGCAAGCGGTGGTGGGTGATCTGGCCGAGGGCGGAGGTGCGGGCTAGCGGTGGAGGCTTGAAGCTGGTGCTGCTGCTGTAGGCGCGACAGACTGGCAGAGGGCGACTGTGGCGCGCGGAGGAGTTGCACGGACGTCGGCTGGGCGCCGATGGAGGCGGTGCGACTTTGCAACTGGCGCTCGGTGGTGATCGGCCGAAGTTGCGGAGCTGCTAGGCAGTGACGCAGACACAGTGCAAGGGAAAGAGAAGGGAAAGAAGAAAGAAAGGAAAGAAGAAAGAAAGAAGAGAGAAGAAGAAGAAGAAGAAGGAGAGAGGAGGAGGCGCGGTGCGGCTGTGTTGGTGGAGTGGAGGTTGGGGCGCTGGTGAGCGATGAGAGTAGAGAGATGCAGCGCTAGAAAAAAAAAGAAAGGGAATTTTCTAGATGGTTTGGGTCGAACCGGTTCGATTCGGTTCGATTCGACCCAAATCTTTGATTTTCATTGGTTTTCGGCTTTTTAATCGGTTTTCGGTTCGGTTTCTCACAGTATTAGTGTTCGCAATAAAATATTAAAATAAATTTCCAAGCTGTCGGTTTATTAAATTTAATTGGAAAATCTTTGAAAATAAAAATTCGGGTTGTTTCAGTCCCAGTCTTTTAAGAAATAAACTAAAATATTCTTATAGTTTATTTCCGTCAGACTATGAGGTCTTTTTATCCAATTTTTGCACTTTTTCCGTTATATATCTTATGAAATTTCATGAAAATACCATTTTATTTTAAAAACACATGAACAAATTAGTTGTATTTTGTATAATATTTAAGTATGTCTCTGTTAGCCTTTATGTTTTCTTATTGACTTAACGGAAAAAATGTAAAAATTAGACAGAAAGACCTAATAGTGTAACAAAAGCAAAATATAAGGACAATTAGTATATTTTTTTAAAAAATAGGGACGAATTAATTATATTTCGCAAACTATAGAGATCATATCGTAATTTTTTCTTGATTTTGTTGTTGGTATTCTAGGTCGGCACAAATTGATAGGAACCCTTTTTCCGTTCATTTATAAAACTTTCAGAGTTGGATTAGCCATACAATTTACTTGTTTCTATTGATTCACACGGCATCATCAAATTTAACATAATATTACTATTTAGTCCTTCACAATTAATATCTTTATTAATGTTTGATGGTAAGAATAATATTTTTTTACAAAGGACTAAATAGCTTTTCAGATTAATTCTCAAAGACTAATAAATATGTTTAGTAAATAAGATAATGTAATTACCTACGGGTTGTGGCTTAGTTGACAATGCAGACTTGACATGTGGAAAGAGTTCTCTAGTTGGATCTCCTCTAAATACATAAGAGGAGCGAAAAACATTAACTGTGACTAAATCCTACACCGGATTAGGACGGCCCTAGTAAAAAAAAAAAAAAAAAAAAAAAAAAAAAAAAAAACAAGAAGAATGTATTATGTAACGCAACACGGCCCTAGAAAAAAAAAAAAAAAAAACAAGAGAATGTAATTATGTAACCAAACCTAATTATCTATTATACACTTTTTAAATTTTATCTTATTTTTAATAAATCTCATTAGTTCTTATTTGTTATTTCAATACAATAATTGCTCACTTATTATTTAAAATGGAAATAATATGAAAGCTAAATGAATAAAATGCCCTTTAACCATAATATGTTACTTTCTTAATTTATGTGAAAGTAAAAAGTGAATTATCTATTTGGAATGGAGGAAGTATATAATAAATAATAAATTTATCGTGAATATATCTAATTTTAATATCACTTTTAAAAGTTAATTCTCTTTAAAGAAAACAAAAAAAAAAAACTTTTAAAAGTAAATTTAACAAGCTCGTGTAGAGATGGAAGCCAACAAAACATAATATAAATCATAAAAAATAATTAATTATATTTGTACTACTATAAAGAAAATAATTTATCCCTTCAAAAAAACAAAGAAAATAATGTATCAAACTCTAAATTTGACAATTGGCTTTCAAGCTTCAAAACGTTGGTGGGCCAGCCAAATGCAAATCGAACACTTTTCCTTCATTTTCAACCGGATGTAGCCGGTAAAAATAGTACCACCTTCTTTTCCTGCGCAACCATCCTCATGTCCATATAAACCCCCACTCTATACATCAGTTGAGTTCATACATTGTATATCTCCATTTGCTTCCTTTTCAACCTTTGCCTGTGCTTCCCGTCATTTACAGTTGTGAAATTCAGGTTATGGTCTCTGCTGGTTACAGGAAACCTGAGAGCCGCAGCTCCTTCCCAGCTCTCGGTTTCCCCCGCCCCCGATTCTTCCGCTACCGCCGTTTGAGGTAATCTGTCCTCCCAGAGCCCGCGAAGGATTAGCATAGACAAATTTATCTTTTGATTGAAGATATATATTTTGCGATATCATATTTAGCGATATACTATGCCGACAACACCAAAGAGTAACCGGAGAGGACAGGAACCGGAGAAGAACCGGAAAAATAGGTTAACAGATAAGGCGTCGTCTTTTCACGGGAGAATTCCGGTGGACGTGCCTGAGCCGAGGATGCGGCGTCCAAATACACTGCCTAACTTGCTCGGAGGTAGGAGCGTCGCCGGAATGTTCACGGAAGCGCGGCCAAAGTTGACGAAGCTGCTATTAAACGTGACGGTCCAAGGAAGCGCTGGAGCCGTACAAGTTGTGATGTCGCCGGAATCAACTGTCGGCGATCTGATCGCTGCAGCTATCCGGCAGTACACGAAAGAAGCCCGCCGTCCAATTATTTCCGGTGATGCCTCCAAGTTCGACCTCCATTACTCACAATTTAGCTTAGAAAGTAAGATATTAATATTTTCTTATCAATCATTTAATCAATTTTTTTAATTAACCATAAAAAAAAAAAAAGCCGCTTGTACGGTGTAGATTGATGGAGATTAAGATATTTTCTTTGTTTGTCGGCAGGTTTGGACAGAGAAGAGAAGCTAATGGAGTTAGGATCGAGGAACTTTTTCCTTTGCGCTAGAAAGTCGAAGGTGAACAGCGGAAACGACAGCGAAAGCTCTTCTAGTGGCGGTGGTTTACCGACAACATCCTCGCCGTCGGGGTCATCATCTTGCTCAAAGGAAGCTGAAAAGGCTTCTAAAAGTGGGTATCCATGGTTAAAATTTATGGATTTCATGTTGTGAATGATAGCATAGCAGGTTGTTATTCATGGTTTCATTTTTATTTTTTTTTTAAGAAAATTAATTATCCCTGTATAAAAAATTAGGGTCTGGATTAGGTCATTGGATCAGATTCTGCAACTTGTATCAGAATTTGCAGTGTTTTGCAATTTAGTTCATTTAAATTTCCGAGAATTGATTTCTAGATGTATGTGTGTCCCTCCTTGTCTTTTACCCCTCAAAAATTAATCTAAGTTGATGCAATTTGTACAGATTCCAGATATTTTGCAATACTACCATACTTAATTTTTTTCTTACATTTTTAATTTTTTCAATCTCAGAGTTTGAAATTCCTATTATATTATTAAAAATTTTAATTAAAGATAATGAAAATCATTAATTTGAGTGAGATTTATTTAGTCTTCTAGTATTTTCTTAATATGTGAGGTGTAAAGGTCTTGTGTTGGGCTCTACTTTCACTGTTGCAGTGAGTGCAACTTAAGAAAGTATTTTCTTTTATAATAATAATAAGTAAACAACACTTCAAAATTATAACTCAAGAACTTAAATTTGCAAACCATAATTAAAGGCAAACATGAGCTGTAAATTGTCACATGCACATATTAATTTTAATTCAGAAAAATTCTCAAAAAAAAAAAAAAATTAATCACTATCATCTCAATGATGTATTAAAATTTTTCTTTGTTTTTTCAACAATTTTGGTTGTGAATTATTTTTTCAAACTCGATTTTATTGTAGCAAATTCATAATTGGCAGTTTAAAATTATAAGTAAACTGAGAATTCAATATTTTATATTTTTTTCTTTTCAACATAACTTTCTTAGACAGATCTATTGCCCATCTATGGATCAAACGATGAAAAATAAAACTTTTTATTAAAATAAGAGTATTTTTTATCATTAACTAAAAGATAATAAAAATTAAAAAATTTAAAAAAAATTTTTATTTTTATTAATTTATTTTATAGGTAAAGCCTTAGATCCGATATAAATAAATATAATCCTTTTTAAAATATCAAAATCTACGGGATGAATTACAATAATAATGCAGAATATATATATATATGGTTTCTTGTTTATACATACTTTCTGTTTATACTGTCTTCTAAGGAATAAATACTCAATTTGTTTTGTTGTCACTGTTTGGGTATTGAATAATAAGGAAAAAGAAAAACAAAATGTGATTGAATTGAAAGAAAAGAAATATCATCTTATCTTTGTTTGTTTTCAAAAGCAATAAGTTACTTTCGGCTACTTACATTAATTATGTAGTCTGAATCTGAATCGTATCTTCAAATTTATCATTCTTTAATTTACAAGTTTGAGATTAATCACATTCTAAAATAGATTCACTTCAATATTTTTTTTAAAAAAAAAGTTTTAAGGCAGTATTAAGACTGTGATTTATTTTCGTTCAATTTAATTTAATTTCTATTCAAAAAATAAATAAATAATTACTTTTACAATTTCTAAATATAAAAATAAAAAAAGTAAAATTTTTATACGGTTCTTTTATTTCTGGGTGAAATAAATCTAAGTATTGTTCAATAAGTTTTTGCAACCACCGCTGCAATAACATTTATTTTTAAAATTTTAAATTATGATATGGCAAGATCATATCATATCTATTCTATGTTCATACTTTGCATGCAAAACCTTTTACATAAAATAAATAATATGTGATTTAAATCCTCAACTTCCTCATTAATTTACAAAACTCATATCCTAAATATCTTGTATTTGTTATTTTTTTTCTTTTTAAAAAAATTGAATTTATTAAATTGACAATACCATTTATTCTAATCTCAGTAGCGAACTTTATTTTTGTTAATATCTCGTTATTGGACTGAAGGAAATTCAAATAATAATAATAATGATAATAGCAATTAATTAATAATAAACAAACAAAAAGGAGGAGAATGTGAGGATTTTAATCAGATAATAAAAATAAAAAATCTTATTCAAAACTTTTTAAAATTATACCAAAATCCAATAGATAACTCATGAAATTGCCACTGGAATCTAAGCACTAAAAGTTAGTATTTCATTATTCCAATAAATGAAATATGGATAAACTTCAATTTGCTTTCGTACTCTTTTGATGATTAGTTTTCAATAATGCTTTTTTTTTTTTTTTTTTTTTGATGATATTAGTTTTCATAATGCCTTTTTTTTTTTTTTTTTTTTTGCTTTTTTTTTTTTTTTTTTTTTGCATAATTACTGTTTTTCTTGTTTTTTTTTAATTTTTATATGAAATAATTTTCAATTTTAAAAAGATTTCATAGTATGAAATTCGCAAGCGTATGAAATCATAGTTAGTAATAAAATATTATTTGAATAATTAATTATATATCAAGTACCAACTAATTAATTAAAAGCTAACACTAAAATTAATTTAAGAATATGATTACCAAGATTTTTTACTTCACTTAAAGCAATACATTTCTAAATTCATTTAATCGTTAAATTAATTTAATTTAACTTTTTTTATTAGTATAATAAAAAAGTGTAATCTCTCGAATCGTATAGCATAAAGATTTTTAACTCTTCTAATAAAATATGTTTTTCATTGACCGAATTTGCTTTCTCAATCTTACAACAGATTGAGGTCACTTAACACGATGTTGGTAATTAATTTGATTTAATTTGGAATTTGATTGACTAGAAGTTAGGAACCTACAATTAAAGAATATAAAAATATAAAAAACAAAAATTTTTGTGCATGTGTTATTTTAGGAATGAAAAGGAAAAGTTGGCTTTTGTTAAAGATTCACATCAATGGCCTAACCTGAAACTTCCTAGAAAAACTTGAAAATGAATTATACCCACAAAAAATTTTAAATTTCCCATCTTTTTTGGACCACATGAGAAACACATTTGTGAATATGTATGTGAAGAAAATGAATAGTGTAGTATATGTCTATTTGTGCCCAAACATTGATTAATAATTGTAACATTAGAGAACAAACATTTGCACATACTCATATGGTGTAAGATGTTTTTCATTATTTTCTTCTAATTAGAAAATTTGAGGCTCATATGAGCTTGCACTCCATTTCACTGTACCTTATCATTGCATTAGACTATACCTTTTTCTTTTTTTCTTTTTCTTTCTTTTTTTTTTTTTTTTGAGAATAAGACTAAACATAATTTTAGAAAAGAGAATAATTGTGGCTTTTCATTTATATTATCACAAGGACTGAAAAAAATCAAAAGAAAAGAAAATAGAGAAAAAGAAATGTTGGTGAAGGTATAAAGAAAAATGTTTTTTCTAGGAAGAAAAATGTTATAGAACTAAGAACTATCTTTCTCAGTGTAATTTTAATCAAATTTAAAAAAAGAAAAAAAAAAAAAACAACCGTAGCAACTGAAAATGACTTATATTGGTGCATTTAAAAGTAATTCTAGATGTTACGGCTCTGTTCGGCAATAGAGTTTGAGGGAGAGTTTAGAGTTTTGACTGTGTCAAATCACTATTTTTATAAATTATATCGTTTGGTAGAGTAGTATATAAAATAAATATTATTGGATAAAATAATGTTTATTAAAACGTTAATCCACCTGATGTTTACCGTTTCGATTTTTATTAAAATTTTTTGACAATTATATCCTTAGTTAACTTATATTATTCTTATCCCTATCCTTAATTAACTTATATTATTCTTAATTAATTTATATTAACATTAATTAAATTTTTTTAGTATGATACTGCAAATCTGCGATTAAGTTAAAAAATTACATTATTTTACACAAAAATTTAAATAAAATAATTTAATAATGAATTAATAGATCATTCTAGAAATGATAATGACTTCAATTTGTATAATTGGACTACATACTATAAATTATTTTATAGTATAACTAGCAAGCCAATCTGCGTGAAAATTTGCTTCCTAAAAATATGAAAAACACTGATACGCCAATTGAAGAAGAAAGAGAAAGATCTGTGACACCATAGCTAAAAAATTATCACTTTTCACCTGGACTTTTGTGTAGCCAGACAAATACACCAATTTTGGACCTTCAAAGTTCAGCGCTAAAACCGGTATTAGCAACCCCCAAACATAAACCACCAAGCCAAGAGCCTAAACTATTCCGCCATAACCCGCCTCCACAAGCTCGATTTGAGTGTGGCAGGAAGGAGCCGTTTGTTATGTTTTAATTCTACATGCCTCTTTTTCTCCCTTTTTTTTTATACAATTTATCCTATTAAGGTTATTTATTTATTTTATTATATTCTCTGCATATATAAATGTAATGACATTTATTTATTTAAATTATTCAGGTTTACCCTTTCAAAAAAAATTATTGAGGTGTACACTAAAAAAAACATTTAGTGACATATAACGTTTGTTTGTTGATAATTGCTCATAGATTAGCAATTGTTTGCCCAGAAAATTTAACTCTAAAGCTAAAAAGCTTATATAATTTTACAGAGAAATTGCCATAAATTTTACTATGAAATTTGAATTTTTGTCGACAAAAAGCTTGCATATATTCACGCATAATTTAACAATTTTTCATTAGATTATCAATAGTTTACCGACTGATTTTAATAAAAAATTTTGGATTTTAGGTACATAAATAGGCGGTAAATAGTAATGTTTAGTGACAAATTATTGACTAATTAATTAGCGATAAAATTTCTTGTTGCTAATCAATTGCTATAAATTACCGAACAATTTTGAAAAAAATTTAAAAATTTTACACAAAATAAATTGCTTAAAAATATTTTTCACCGAATGCAGAAAATTTATTTTAAGCATTAATCTTTTCTTTCTTACTTTATCTCTCATTCATTTTTTTAATTATCTTCTCCATCCTTTTCTTTTTCATCATTATCATCTCCTTCCTCTTTTTTTTTTTTTTTTTTTAATCTCCTTCCTCCTCTTTTTTTTTTTTTTTTTTTTTTTTTTTTCCCTTTCTTTCTCCTCCTCCTTCCTTATTTTGATTCTTTTTAGAGTAAAATACTTTCGCGTCCCTAAATTATAACCATATTAACGCTTACATCCTTCTATAATCAACAAATAGTTTTAACATCCTTAAATTATTAGTTTGCCAGATAATTGAGTCATTTCGTCCATTTTGATCCAAATTCAACATTAAATTTCAAATAAAAATACAAAAAGAGGAGAGAAAATACAATTAAAACCTAAAACTGCCCTTAGAACTTTGCATCAGCATCATCTTCTCCTTCCTCAAACCCTGATAATAACTCTTAAACAAAATCAAATTTGAAAGCTATTGAATCT